GTTAATGAGGATATGACAGCAATTCCATCCTTCCAGTTACTTGGACTTTGGAGTCATCCTTGATACCTCCCTTTTCTCAAACTTGTATCTACCTTCAAAGTCCTAGTGTGGTGCTGTAGGTTAATGCAGCAGACTGCAAAGCCGTGTAAATTGCAAGATTATGTTTCAGGCTCACCAGCTGCTCCTCGGAAACCCTATACAGCGTTGCTATGGGTCAGAACCGACTTGACAGCATTTAACAACAACAGCAACCTTCAAAATATATTCTGATCTCAACCAGTTCTCACCACTTCCCCTGTTACTCTCCTGTTCCAAGGCTCAATCATCTTGCATCTGGATTACTGCAGGAGGTATCTAACTGATTTCCCTACTTTTGTCCTTGTCCCTGACAATCCATTCTTAACACAGAGACCAGAGAGATCTTTTTAAGTATAAGTTAGATCATGTGCTTCCTCTGCTCAGAACCTACCAGGAGCTTCTGTCTCACTCAGAGGAAAGACCAAAGTCATCCAGGACCGCAAAGCCCTAATAAACTCTAGAACACTTCCTGTTCCACTGTCTTTCTGATGTCATCTGTTCTCTTCAGTGTTCAGAGAGCCACAGTGGCTTCCTGTGTATTCCTTGAAAATGTCAGCTGTACCCTCTGCCTAGGATGTTCTTCCCTGGATAGCTGCAGGGTTCACTCCCTCACCTCCTTTGAGTCTTTACTTGAATGAATTCATGTTTCACTTTGCTCTCTCTTCTTTGAGGAATTCAAAGATCAGATCTTCCTTTATCAATATAAGTCATCTTACCCTGCACATTTTCTTTACCTTTCATAACATCTCTTCTGTGTTTTCCAAGTTAATCTTCATATGCGGATTCAATTTTGGGAAAGGTTCATTATGGTCCCAATGCTTTGATCTTAAGGTATTTTTATGAAAGTTTCCATTCCCTTGTACTGTCTTTTTCTCTCCCTGTTCACATTTAATTGCTATTATATATCCTTTTTTAAATCTTGAGAAAAGTTACTGGTGCTTCTCATTATTCACTGGACATTTACTAAACACCTGCTTCTTTCCAGGCCTGTGGTCCTCACCATGATGTGCAGAAGAGAACCCTGAACTCACAGAGGTTACCGTCTTGCCCAGGGCCACATAGTAAATTTGTCTGTCTAGCTCTAGAAGTCAGCATTCTTTCTTCCAAACTCCATCATCTTCTTCTTGCTACTTTTAAACCAAGTCTAATGTCTAGCACATATTTGAAGCTACTTACTCATTCACAAGTGCCAGACACTGTTCTGAAGCAGATATGACAGTTTAAAAAAAAAGAGAGAGAGAGAATATTATTTAGAGTTTTCCAGAAGGTTTAGCATTTGGAAAAAAAAACAAAGTAGGCAAAGGTGATAGGAAGTGCCTGGGGGATGGTACTATGTTATGAAGTTACATTTGAATGAATACTTGGAGGAGGTGATTTAATCATTATCTAAATAGACCGATACACTCCTAGCCCTGCTACCAACCAACAAGCTGAATACCTTTCCCTTAACACAGTTTTATAATATTTGATTATCTAAAAGTTCAAACTCATTTATGTCTTTAAGGTTAGTTTCCATTTAAGAAGCTCTGGTGGTGTAATAGTTAAGAATTTCCAGTAGCTCTCTGAAAGGTTGGCAGCTAAAATCCATGGAAAGGTTGGAAGTTCAGACTCACTCAGTGACTCCATGGGAGAAAGCCTTGGCAATTGGCAATCCGCTTCTGTAAAAACTACATCCTAGAACACACTGTAGGGCAAGTCTGCTCTGTCACGTGGACTCACTATAATTTGGAATCGCCTGAACAGCATGTAACAACTAGTGTTTCTGTTATGTCAAGTGGTTGTATTTTGACTCTAATAGATCATTGTAGTTGCTGCACACATGTCATGACCGTGGAACTTAATCTGCTAGTGAAGGCTTGGCTTTCATATAACAGGGACAATTGTGTCTTAAATAAGATTGTTTACTTTTTCTCTCATGTAAATGCTGTTTGGAGGTAGATGGCTCATAAAGTCTTCATGGATCCATGCTCCTTCCAATTCATAGCTTTGATTATATGATCTTCAACCTTGTGATTTGACTCCTGGTGCCCCAACCATAACAACTAAATTGAAGAAAGCAGAATATGGAGAAGGACTTAGGCCATTCCTTTGAAGAGACTTCCTAAAATTGCATACTGAAGGTCAAAATTTAGCCATGTGGCTGCATCCCACTGTACAAAAGGATAGAGAAAGAAACTTTTAGCTGGATGGCAATGTGCTCACTTAAACAATCAGGGTTCTTGTTACTAAGAAGGAGGGTGATTGGCTATTGGAAGACAATTGTCGGTCTCTGGCATAAGTATAATTTAAGTATTATCTGAAAGAACTACAACTAATTAAAAATGTGGAGCTTCAGTGGTAGAATTCTTAACTTTCATAAGCAAGACTCAGGTTTGCTTCCTGGCCAATTCCTCTTATGTGCAGCTACCCCATAGTGTTGCTATGATGCCAAATAGGTTTCTGCACACTGTTCATTAATTTATTCAGCTAAATTAATTGCATACCATACAATAGAAGAAAAACAGAGAAAGCTTACATTCTAGTGGGGGTGGGTGGGACAAACAATGAACCAGTGTCTGAGTTCTCTAGTGCTACTATAGCAGAAATACCACAAGTGATGGCTTTAACAAGCAGAAATTTATTCTCACAGTTTTGGAGGCTAAAATTCCAAAGCCAACTCTAGGGGAAGGCATTCTCTCTGTGTTGTCTCTGGAGGAAAGTCTGTCTCCCTTTACTTATCTGTGTTCCCTCTTTTGAGCTACTGCATCCATAGGTGTAGGTCAAGTTCATCAAATTGTATCAGATTACTTTTTTTTTTCCTCTAATTTCTTCTTCTACTTGAGTCTGATCATCCAGTCATTGAAGCCAGGTCAAGTGGGTATTATCTGCAAGTGTGGGTGTTCTTGTGCATATGCCCCCTCTTATCAGCTGGACCCTTCACTGTCCACTCTAGTCCTCCATGACTATGTCACTGACTCTGGGCCCAAGAGTCCCCAGGTCTTGCCACACTGCTGGCCAACCAAGTCTCCACCTGGGTTCACAGGAGTCTATTGAACGTTGTAGGGCTTAGCTCGCAGCTTCATTGCTGTTTTTCCGTCACTTCCCCTTACTGGTGATGAACATGGTCACCAATCAGAGCATGTATTCCCATTGAATCTTAGTCTTGGAAGGGGGTTTGCTGTGAGGGGACCCAACCACTTGCCTTGATGTCTCCTGGGTGAGCAACTTGCTTGTTCTTGTAGTAATCAGTCAGACTGCTGTTAAGTTGTTTTGTATTTTTCCTGTCAGTCTTTCTTTCAAGAAGTATCTTCTGTTCTTCTAGCTGCTCCAGGCTGGTCTGCTTGTCATTTCAAGTGGACATTTCCCACCTCTGAAGATTCTGGATGCTGTTCAGGATTCCACCTATGGTCTTATGTAATGCAGAGGCTCCACAGGAAACCTCTTTCACTGGGCACATTGTAGCCCCATTTTAGGTATTCCAATCAGTATAGGCAGAAGACGGACTTACAAGCTTTCTATGGTGATATTTCTGGCTATTCCTTTTTCTTCCCCTCCAGTGTCTATTTTATAATGGTATATGCAAGGGAAACTAAGATTCAAAAGACAGCCAAGCATCTTAACATTATCTCTCCCCTTCCCCCATTCCAACCATGTCACAATCCCTGTTATCCCAGAGCCCTGTTGTTCCAAGGTTGTGCATACATCATTCTTTACCTCTGTCCCACTTAGCCCATGCAAACCTGCCTAATTGTTCTCACATCTGCTTTGTTCTTCCATTCCCCTCTCCCTTCTTATATATTGCCCCCCTTCCTAGCACCCAAAATATCCTGTGTCTTTTCTCTACCCTGTGTTCCACTTTCCTCTCCCTCCCCCCACCCCCCCCCCCCCATCCCCGTAACCAGCCAAGAAACCTCCCCTCCCCTTAGTATGGGTTCTTTTTCTTAGTCATTTACAGTAGTGGTCCCATGCAGTATTTCTCTTTTTGTGACTGACTAATTCCACTCAACATAATGCCCTCAAGGTTCATCCATGTTATGCGGTGGAACCAGACTTTTTTATTACTGTATTTTTCAAGAATATTATATGTTATGAATCGGGCTGCGAACCGCAAGGTCAGCAGTTCGAAACTACCAGCTGTTCCGCGGGAGAAAGATGAGGCTTTCTGTTCCCGTAAAGATTTACAACCTCGGAAACCCTGTACAGGGTCGCTATGAGTCGGAACCGACTCCACGGCATATAACAACAACAACATATGTATATATATGTATGTATGTATATGGTGTGGTGCTGTTAGGATAACTCAACAGCTGCTCTTTGGAAACTCAATATAGACTGGCTATGAGTTGGAACCAACTCAACAGTACTTAACAACAAGTATATATTTACTATTATTATATATGTATAAAACAATGATAATTACAATAGACGAGTCCTGGTGTGGCGGTCTGAACTGCCACAAGATTGGCAGTTCAGACCCACCAGCTGCTCCATAGAAACTAATAGTTTCAGTGATACTTTTTCGTTTAACGTTATTACTACGTGCTGTCAAGTTGGTTCTGACTCAGAGTGACACTGTATAGGATTTCTGAGGCTGTAAATCTTTGCAGGAGCAAAAAGTCTCATCTTTCTCCCACGGAGCAGCTGGTGAGCTTCAACCGCCTACCTTGTGGTTAGCAGTCCAATGCTTATCCTACAGAGCCACCACTTTTAATTAATATTTGATTCTAAAATTCAAGAAAAAAATGGTTATCAAAAGTGCCTTCAAATCTTAATTAAATATGTAGTTTTATGAATTATACTTATGCTATTTTTAATGAAATTGATTACTAGGAAAAATGTATTCTCAGTAAACAAAGCTTTATTCAAAACTATCTGTATAAGCTAATATCAAATTCATTATATGCAAAGTGCCTATTTGAATGTATTTGTGTGTATAATTTCAGGATTCACAGCTCGTGATAGAAGCTTATAAGTCAGGATTTGAGCCTCCTGGAGACATTGAATTTGAAGATTATACTCAGCCAATGAAACGCACAGTGTCCGAAACCAGCCTTTCCAATTCCAGAGGAGAAGGCAAACCAGAACTCAAATTTGGTGGCAAATCCAAAGGAAAGTTATGGCCGTTCATCAAGAAAAATAAGGTACTGATGATTGTAAAATTAGTTTTACAAAGTATGGAGATTCTGACTTTTTTAATCTTAAAGGAATAAGATTTAAACGTTTAGTTTTCGAATGCAACAGGCTCGTGTGCTGTTTTATTTTAAGACTATTTCTCTTTGGTGGTGGTTTCTTGCCATGGCCATATGTGTTGTTTCCGATGCATTGCTTGTACCGTGTTACGCACACTAACAGATTGATGGCCTCTCAGCTGTTTTCCATCCCTCCTTACACACCTGGGTCCTCTAGACTGCTGGTTGCCTCAGCTGGGAAAGGGGATAATGCACAGAATTTTAATAGCAATTCTAACTGAATGGCTACCACGGGTTCATAACTTTTCATTTTGTGTGTGTGTTTTTTAGTGTGATAGGTACATAGGTGCATGACAGCATTAACCTGGAGACATAAAATAGGATCAAGACAACACTACTGCTTTAACATTAGATTATATTAATTTTTTTATTTTGAAAGACTTGTTTTGCTCTTTTCACCGTAGCACTTAAGGTCTTTCATTTCCTCCCATCAAGCTATGTAGTTTAGGTAGTTTTGAAATATTCATTTACCTTCTGGCTTAAACTGATTTCAGATAACTAATTAGAACTGTAGTTTGCATGTGAAAGTCTGCATGAGCTTCTTGTCAAATATTTCTTGCTCTTCTTCCGTTGCATTACTTAACTAAAATTCCCACTTTCATCCTATTCTTCATTTAACATATTCTACATGTTTTCTTTTGGATCATGGCCTAAATATTTGATTGTGTTTTACTTGCGTTGGATTTCACATATGATTTGATGCTTATTTTTGTTTTGTGTCTTATCTTCTTGTTTCTGATTTTTACTCTATCACTGCTCCATCTCTTACATGTAGCTTATGTCCCTTTTAACATCCCCCCATCAGCCTCCCCCTCCTCCCCCTGCCTCTGCCTCACCCTCTGCTGTTCCCAACGGCCCCCAGTCTCCCAAGCAGCAAAAGGAACCCCTCTCCCATCGCTTCAACGAGTTCATGACCTCCAAACCCAAAATCCACTGCTTCAGGAGCCTAAAGCGCGGGGTAAGTTCTGCTCTGGAATCCTGTCTCTGTTGTGCGCTTTTGTTGCATGTTTTGTTCTGCATAACTTATTTTGTTTGTGAATGATTTCATTGTGTTTTCCCATACATAACAAAATAAAACAAAGAAAGAAAGAACCCCTGATTCATTATAACTAAAAAGAAAAATGAAGACAGAATGAGGAGGAAAAAAAAGAAGTATGTAGGATGGATGGATGGATGGAAGGAAAAAGTGAGAAAGCAAGCCAGACCTGAGTTCTTTTTTTGTATCAATTTCATTTTGGAAAAACTCTTTTCCATTTCCCCTTTCTGACATCTAAGTCGTTAATATTTTACCTTGATTTTACCAAAAGAGGAAACGTAGATTCGGTTTCTAAAACTAGTAACATACAACATAAGAGGAATTGGAAGCTGCTGTACAGACAACATTTGCTTAGTAATTACTAGAACATTGTGAGGGTAATATGGATATTTCTTGTTGAGCGGTGCCTCAGGGTTTTAAGGGGAAATGTCGCAATAGCACAGTGGTTTCACTGGCTATTTCAATGAAATTAGAAGATTTTAATAAAATGTCTTGTGACTGGAAAAGGCCTAATGTAGTATGTTTTTAAAGGGTGACATAATAATAGCAGCTGGCGTTTATTGAATGCTTATGATGTGCCACACTATGTTCTGTATAATAATTTACTTTTTTCAACTACTCTGGAGTCTCGGTGTGGCACTAGACTGCAAACCACAAGGTCAGTCTTTCAAGCCCACAGCCACTCCTGGAAACCCTATACAGGGTTGTTATGAGTCGGAACTGACTCGACGGCGCTTAGCAACAACAGCAACAAACATGAAGCCTAGGTATTAAGAATGCCTTATTTTACTGATAAGGAAACTAAGGCATAGAAAGATTAAGGATGTGCCTAAAATCAACGAGGAAGATGTAGAACTAGGATTTAAATTTAGGGAATCTGCTTACAGTGTTGGATTTCTGTGATATTCCCAGGAAAAATCTGTTGTAATATTGTTGTTCCATAAGTAGATGTCTTTAAGACTCAAGTTTGCCATTCTAATCAAGATTGGATGTGCTTAAGTCACAGGGTTTGACAGAATTGATCCAGCAACCCAATGTAGATGCCATTTTGGTTTGTAGGGGGAAAAAAATTGGAAGTAATTTGTAGCCTCCTGAATAAATCTAAATGGCCAGTCTTGTCTAAGGCTTCCCCAAATGCTTTTTGATGGTTGATAATGAATGGGCAATGCAGAGTAAACAGACATTTAGTGCATAACCTAGTAAGGTTTTGTATCTTTTCCTGTGGGAGTTGCAAGGCAGTTGCAATGGGATGCCTTCTTATACAAACACAGGTTTTACTTTTCTGTATCTCTAGTCAACTCATAGTTGGGTTACTTCTTTCCACATACTGTCCGATTGTTATCATGAAAGCCAGAACTAGATGCCAGCTTTTAGGTTAACAAGCAGCATGAGCAGGTAAGATCAAGTACAGAATTAGTCCTAAACTAAATATCCCTAAGTTTGGTTTTCTCAAGTGTCAGCTGACACATTGTCATGGGAGGAGATTTCAAGCTGTGTCTAATTAGTCAAAGGAGAAGTGTCCTTAGATTTGGCCTCAACAACTGGTTGCCAGGAAGAGATGAACAGTCACCACTATTAGCCTGGCAGTGATGATTTTTCAAGTCTACAAAACAGTGCTCTTGATGCAACTCAGTGTAAATGTGTACCTGATATTATTCTCTTTGTAAAAGAAAAGGCAAAAACCACTTCTTTATATTACAGAGTTTCTCTATTAAGAAAATCTCAAAGTTTTATGCAAAGAATGCAGTTGGTGGGCACTAGTCGATGGAGAATGTCTATTTCAGATTGGCTACCCAGCATATCAGTATCAGAACCAGAAATCTAATTTTCTAAATATTTTAAGAGTACCATTGTTAGAAGTCCGCGTATGACATCAGATGTGGATGATGGATCAAGCTGAACTCTATTATTAGGCTTTGCTAAGGAATCTGCCGCTTTCTGGGTCAATGATGCTGGCTTCTAAAACGCCCCATCCATCTCCACTCTATGCTTCATCAAAGAAATTCCAATATATGACTCAGGTGTTTTTGCTAGACTATAAATTAGTTAACCCATTGCTGCCACTTCTACAGCCTTTACCAAGCATTCATTTATTGTTTTCACAAGAAATATCACTTCATTTGTCTTTTGGAATCTCATCTTGAAAGTAAATTGAATAGTCATGATTGTTGACCATTTGTTTATATGTTTATTCTATTCTTCCTCTCATAATCTCAAAGTCTGTTGGTTGCAAATAGTTTATGAATCTGTGTTTTACGGTGTTCTCTAAATGTTTACAGGATGATAAAAGAATGTCAGTATCAATAAATAGAAAAAAAGGTAACTAGAAAAAATATAACAAAAACTGGTGTTTTTTTTTTTTGATGATGATTTAAAGGAAAACTCTTTTTACTCTTATTAGTAAAGTAAATTTTATTTCTTAGTCTTCAAATCCATGATTAGCAAACTTCTATTTTAAAAAATTTCCTGAGTTGTGTGTTGTTCTGAGGGTAAATACATACCTACACATACATACACTAGAAGTATTAATAGATAGGAAAATTGTCTTGCTTCCATCATTTTTGGTCAATCTGTTCTTAGTTAATGTTCCTTTTTCAGGAAATAGCAGTGAAAAAAAATTAAAGAGAGAAAAGAAAGAGGAAATACTCATAGAAGTAAAATTAGGAAGTTCCAAAACTGAATCTCAAATTTGGGGAAATAAATTTGACCTTAAAACAATCTCACGATGGGAGGTATGTGGTTTACAAGATCATGACTAAAATGATACAGTCATGACTACCATTTGGTTTATTCTACTATTGAACTTGACTGTTGTGCCAAAAATAATTTAGTTAGGAAAAACATCCTAGGAGAATAACAAAGATTTTTATTTATCATATTTTGTAACTTTCCAATCTAGATTTCAGTCATTTGTTTCTGTTAGCAGAATGTATAAAGCCTATGCAAATATTTCTTAGCATAACTGATTTTGTTTCTAAATACTTAGAATATTTTTTCATTGGAAGCCATTGTTACTTGTAGCAAAATTTTATTTCATCAGACATTGTTAATGATTGATATGCCATCTGAGCATTAATAATTATTTCATCTTTATACAAGTCAAAGAAAAATTAAACTAGATAGCATGTTCTTGACTTGCAGTCTACAAGTTGTAATTTTATTGTTTTAAACTAAGATTTCTTTTACTGGTTAGAGCAAGGGGACTCTAAATCTGATATATCAACATGCCCTCCCCCCTTATGTATTATAGTGAATTATATGGAAAAATACCAAAGTATCAAGAGATCTTAAAAATTCTTACCAGTTGTTTGTCAGATGTTGCAGTCTTAATATTTTAATATTATTTATTTTATCTTGTTTTCTTGCTGATTATTGACAGACTCAGTCTTTCTGTTTTCACAAAGAACTCATGAAGAGGACAATAGGGAAACCCACGTATGCCTTTGAGGCTAGGGACTATGTTGTAAGTTTACCTGTGATGACCAGGTCATACAATCATGCCACAGTCACTAACCCCATTGACCACCAAGACTGGGGACCCAAATGTACCCTGCTATGCTTCCACACTTGAGATGAAATTCTTAATTGAAAGGACTAGATACAGGGAAAAAATCTAATGTGTAAATTCAGTCATAGATTACTTCATCTGAAAAAGGGAACCAAACTTCCTAATAATGTCAGTGAACTGAGCTTGGTTTTTTGTCTTTTTGGTTTTTTTTCTCTTTTCACTCTATTTCTAGTAAAATCTTTAAAGGAATTTTGACTGCCAGTTGAGAAGATGTCACTAGGACTGGGTCTGAGTTTACGGCAGAATTTCCCAGCTGCAGATTGTGGTCACAGGAGGATGACACTCTTTACAAACTGCAGTTGTTTAGAACAATTATCCACATCTGTGGTTGGAGCAAATGCATCCATAAGGGATTTCTGTGCTTAATACTTGGAAAACAAAAAAAACCAACGAAGCATGAGCAAGTTCATAAAACACAAAAAATATTTTCCATGGACTTTAATATATTTATTTTTATTGTCCCCTTTCTTTGAACTTGAGGTTAGTGCCTGTGACTGCCCAGTAACACATGGACTTGCTGGCTCTGTGTTCCCTCATGTGTTATTGACGCTTGTGGCTCCCAAGGCTCTTCATTGTCGCCCAAACTGACAGCTTTTTAGTTCTTCAGGTGTCTAGCAGTGTACTTAATGAAACCTTTAAAATTATTCTTTTAGCAGATGATTAGGGTTCTCATTTTAAGTGGTCTAATTGACTGGCTTACTACTGGAAATGGATAACCAGTTTATAATTGTTTAAAAAGAATACTATATACTGTGCCGGTACTTCCTGTTGATGGATGATCCAATCACTGTCCACTGCAGAAAATGGAATTTGTCTTAGAACTTCCTATTTCTATTGGAATTCAATCCTAATGAATTAGTGTTATAATGAAGTGATAATTCTCCTATATTAGCGTTTTGATGGTAAAATTCTGGGCTTGGAATGTTTAAGAAAGACTATGTAACCCTAAGTAACTGAAATCTAACAACAGCGTATCTAATCCAGATGTCAATTCTTCAAATTAGCCACGTTTAGACATTAATGGGGGAGGAAATATCTGTATAGGTAGTGAGCTTGGTAGAGAGATACTTGGAAAGTTTTCTGCTGCGCACCATAATTGTCGTCTGTATGTATGAAGAACTCAAATTGTGATGACTAGATCTATGCTAAAGTTCACAGGAAGGCTCTCAGAGTTAATGCAGATTGCATTTCAACAGTCATGCTGATGACCATGTGCCGTTTTGAACAGTTTTGTCTTGCTACTTCTTTTTTTTTTTAAAAGTCTCTTCTTTACCCATTAAAGACAACTTCTTTGAAAGCTTAATGCCCATTTACAAAGAAGTGCCAACTTTATTTAATCTTAAGTTAAGAATTTTGTTTGTTTAAGTCTGTTGCTGTTGTTTGGTGCCGTTGAGTCGGTACTGACTCATAGTGACCCTATGCACACAGAATGAAACACTGCCCAGTCCTCTGTCAACCTCATAATCATTGCTACGTTTGAGCTCATTGCTGCTGCCAGGATATTTTCTTTGCTACTTTTCTAAAATATCATTTTTTTTAATGGATCCTCCTACCAGTTAACTTTCTAGGATTGATAACAGCTAAGTATAAATATCATGTACTGAGCTCTGAAAATATGGCTTCATAAACATCCAGGGAATGCTGGTGGCGAGTGCTTAAAGCACTAGGCTGCTCATTGAGTGAACCCACCAGCCAGTCTGCTGGAGAAAGATGTGGCAGTTGCTTTTGTAAAGATGTACAGCCTTGGAAATCCCTTGTAGCAGTTCTGCTCTGTCCTGTAGGGTCACTATGGGTTGGAATTGACTTTATAGCTGTGGGTTGGGGCTGGGTTCTAGCCATAGAGCAGGAGACCCCTGTTAATGAGGAATTGACTGAACTTTTCCTGATTTTGAGACGTCCTCTAAACTCTGTATTTGCATCCAATAATCACTGATGGTCTGCTAATTTCCAAGCCCAGCAGGATTTCAGCTGCTGTGGTACAATAATGGTCAGAAAGTCCCTAGTAAGACGCTTCCCTAGGTAGTTGAAAGAGCTGGTTACCACTTTCCTAAAGGTAACTTCCAAGAGCAGCAACTCTTGTCAATCCCCGCCCTCCCACCCAAAATCTGTTCCCTTAGATGGGGCTTCTGAGGCTACCCACACAGAGAAGGATATTATACATGGGGCTGTGAGCCCACAGGTGGGATAGGGCATGGTCTTTCTGCTTCCAGCCTGATGCTGAGAGCTTTTCCAAGCTGAAAGATTTCATAGAGTAACTTCTGATCCTTGGCTACCCATTCACCAATCTGAGAGCTTTGCCTTGAATGCCTTTTTAAAAAAATGCAGTGTTCGTATTTATTAAATGTCCTTATGATAAAAATATCACATGTGTGTTGTGGAAGAAATTGGTGTTCAGACTTTATTTTAGTCTGTGTAAAACTTTCCCTGGGTAATTTGGTCAACAAAAAAGCTATATGATTGTTTTCGTCATTTATACTCATTTGATGTCCCCAACTGCAAATGTACTTTAGTTTACCCCAGGCTGACATGACCAGTACAAAATTGCAAACAGAAACTCTCCTTTTCTGTCTTCATCTTTGCTCTGGCGATATGACAGCTAAAGAAAGGTTTCAATAGGAATCAGCCTTTCTTGTGAACTTTTGCACAGATTCGCTACAAGCCATTTTCACAAATTGACAGGTGAATTTATGTGTTTTGTTAATACAGTGGAACTGATAAAGTTCCTTTTCTTCTGATATACTGTTGTTTTCTCTCTCTTTTCTCTCTTCTTTTTTCCTGTTACCCCTCTTCCATTTTCACGTGAAGCTTTCTCTCAAGTTGGTAAGCACAATGATCCCCTGCATGCCCTGAGTCTAATCCGGTTTTTCTGTATGTGTTTTGTGGGTGCTGGTCTAGGGAATCTATCTTCAAAATTAACTGTTGCTTGTGTTTCTCCTCCGTGTGCTTTTTTTGTCGGTGTTGCCTTATTAGACTTTCTGAATACAAAGGTCTAGAATCAACTAAAGGCAATCTTAATTTTTTTAAAGCTGCTAAGAAAACTAACACTTAACTCATAATTTGGTTTTCTTTTATTATTGAAGCTTTAAGAGGATCACAAATGCTGATAAATGGTGTATCTAAATATAAACCAAACAATTAAATGCAGAGTTTATTTATTGGCTCATTTTGAATAAAAATAAATTGAATAATTGAGAGCTGCTTCTCCCTGAGATCCATAGGAATCGATGAAAAAAGCTGGGATCCTGAGGGTGCTTTGTAGGCATGATGCTCACCTTGGGTGGCCTTCAGGTATAAGGCACCCATTAAGAACTGAAAACCAGCACATTTTCCAGATACCACATGATATGTTTGTGTCTGTGTATAGATAATTTAAGAGACCACAAGATGATTTTCTGGACAGGGAAAAGAGCCTCTTAAGCCTTTCCAGAATTATTTACTTAAGTGTCCTGTTTTCATTTAACTTTGTAGCCCTAGTGAACAATCAGACTAACCATTAAATTCATTAAAAGAAACTCTTAACCAACATAACCCTTAAATATACTTTGAATATGTACAAGTTGTAAAATATTCTCAAATTTCACAGCTGATATCCTAAAACAATGGGCAATGACAAGCTGTGTATCAGCACTTTATTCGATACTGTTGATAACTTTATGGTTCTCCTTCTAGATTCGTGCATACATTTATGAAGGGGCTTTAAAGCATTGGTGGGGAAATTCCATTCTCTTCCAAATCCATGTTTCGAAGCCCCCTCATATGTGTATGTACATTACATACATATATAGACATATAGATGGATATATATATATATAACCGTTTGAACTGCAAGGTCAGGAGTTCGAGCTCACCAGCTGCTCCTTGGAAACCCTATACAAGGTCGCTATGGGTCGGAACCAACTTGAAGGCACTTCACAACAACAACATATATATACTTTTACAATCTGACTCAGTGTTTGGCAACAGGCTCAACCCTAAACCAAAAGGATATTTTATTGAATATTTCTTAGACAGAAATAAAATGCTAAGAAGGGGTCTTGGTTAACGTGTCTAAAAAATGGAAGTGATCTAGACACTTAAATTAATTTAGCTCATCAGCAGTACTAATTTGGGAGGAATTGGCTCAGCTGACCTGGAGTTCTTTCTCAAGGCCAAGATCCTTTCCTTTCCCTTTGTCAGTCCTTTTGCTGGAGTGCTAAGCAGCAAAAGGTGATACAACTAGGCAGCCTTCCTGTTTGAAATACGTTCCGATAACTGGTATTGAATTGTTGCTTCATACCATTACTTGGAAGCAAATAAGGATGTGCATGCATCATTGCACAAAATCATGACTGGGGGGAAGAATAATAAAATCACAAAGGCACTTGTGCTGTTTGTTGGAGTTGCCCAGGAATAAGTGTTTTAACTCCACCAACATGTAAAAATAAGCTCCTCTTCCATAGCATAGCCACTTAAAATACATGTGTGTGTGACCCCTTCTTCCAACAGCCATCTGGCATGGCTAGTCTCTAAGCTGAGCTGTGCCAAAGATTTCAGAAAAAAATATTGTGTCTCAAAATTAGAAATAAAAATGTTTTCATAGGTCAAAGTATTGTATTCAAGCGTCAAAAGGCAAATTGGATGAAATGACCTTTTAAGGTCTCTCTGGAAACGTTATGTTTCTTTGGGGGTGACCTGAATCCACGTGATGTTTATTTGAGGCTGTTATTGAGATTACTCTTAAAATAACACAGAAGCATCTATTAAAAGAGACCTAATTGTTTCAACTTTTGCAGAAAATCAGTGTTGGTTTTTTTTGTTGTTGTTGTTTTTGCTGGTTAGGGTATCTACCTACAAGTTATAAGTACAGTGTCTTTTATTTAAACTTTTTTTTTTCTTTTTGGCAGGTGTTTATGTGCCCATGTAAATCTTACACCTGCTCATAGTCTAGACCTGCACAGCCCAACATGGTAGCAATTGGCCACATTAAATTAAATTAGCGAAAATTTAAAATTCTGTTCCATAGTTGCACTAGCCACATTTTATGTGCTCAGTGGTCACATGTGGCCAATGCCTAATGCATTGGACAATGTGAACATAGAAGACTGCTATCATCACAGAAAGTTCTAATTGGACTCAAAGCCAATTAGAATGAGCTGAAACCTGAGAAAGCGTCTAATTCAACCACACCCCTCAGGACCGAAGCATGGGGGGGGGGGTTTGCTAACAACCTAGTACCCAGAGCTCCACAGCCTCATCCACAGCCCTGCGCTTAGTAAGCTCAGTGAACAGTTATGTAAAAGAAAAAAGGTCATATTTGTTTTTATGCTGATGATTGGTTTTGTTTCATCTGAGTTTCAGAGTTTAATTAAACTTCCTGAGGTTAGCATTAGGGAAAAGTCAGTTCCATTCTGATTCACCCAAACCTCTCTTCCCAGTCCACATACACAGATAACCAGAGAGAGAGAGGACTTTAGCCAGTGTATCCTAAGGAGAGGCTTTGTGAACATTGGCAAAAAAGTCTTTGTGGTAAACTATCTGCTGAATCACACACTTCCCATCACAGAAGCCTGGCATTGAGCATAATCAGCCTAGGAACAGCCATCACAAACCCCCCATGTCAGCTACTTGGCAAACTCAACTGGATTTTGGAATTACATTATCGGAGTCCCTTCTTTCCACCCACTTCCTAGCCAATCTTGCCCTTGTTTTAAAAGAATTGAGGTTTTAAAATAAAATCTCTTTGGTAAATTCCCTGGCTTATCCCTGGTTACTGAATAAATATCTCTTTCTCTGTGAAAATTACCCCCTTTAAGTAAAAACACTTGGTACCACAATTTAGCCACAGCTTTCTAACAAACTCATATATGAAGCCTGGAAACTATTTGATCTTTTCTCCTTAAATTACATGCACAGAGGAAAGATAGCAATTGTTTTTTAAAGGCAATCAAGATATCAATATGTTCCCACATTGAGATTACAAAGAGCTAAGATTGATTTCATACACTGTGGGAAATTGATTTTTGAGGTCAGGGAGCCTACCCTATTTGGATTCTTTAAGGCTACCCTTAAGCTAATGAGTTAGCTGAATGTCTGAAACAAGTGATCAGACTTTGAGAGGCAGTAGAGGAAAAAGTCATGGGGTTGGAGGGAATTTGTTTTAATGTCCTTCTCAGCCATATTCCCTGAGGAACATGATTTCCCATCCATCAAATCACAAGTTTGGAAGCTTGTGGCCTCTGCCTTGTATGCAGAAAGAGGAAAGAATATTCAGACCCAGGAGAAAAGCAGTGTCTGAGACATGAAAGAGTTGATGGGGATGTATTACAGGTTTATATTAATGAAACATAAATTTTCTTATATTAAAGGAGGCAAAAACATCGCTGTTACCCCAGACCCTGATGGTAACACTATGCAGTAAAATGAAGACTCTGTCTCAGAATGTGTTTTTAGTTGATTGTCACTAGAGTCAGAAGTATTTCTTCTCCTCTCTCCTCTTATAGCATTGCTCTCTGCCTTTTCAAAGGCATTTTGGGTTAGCATCAATGGGATGTAAAATGGTTTGTGGGACTTCTGCAGTTTGCATGCATTGCATTTGCATTTCAGCTGGGTATAGTGGGAAAGAGCTGAACTTCTTTCATGAAAAGCCGTGCAGATGCCTGTATCCACCTGGTATCAGAGGAATCTTTCCTGCAGACTTTATTCTGTCAATTTTTCTTTATGTGTGTGTGAAGGAATACCGTAGGGCTTTCTAGCTTCTCATTTATATTTGTATCTGCAGGGTGCAACACCAGAAGATTTCAGCAACCTGCCACCTGAACAGAGAAGGAAAAAGCTACAACAGAAAGTTGATGAATTAAATAAAGAAATCCAAAAGGAGATGGATCAAAGGTAGAGTATATCAACATGGCTTATTATGAAACTCAATCCACTTTGGAAATATGGATTTAAAAGTGATTATTTGAGCCATGTGTTTGGTCACATGGCTGACTGATTGGGAGATTCCCTTTTACAAACAAATTTTATTCTAAGTTTGGAGAGCAAAATACATATGGTTATCTCTTCTATTACAAATGTATATGTGCGTGTTTTTATGAGGAGGAAGAGAAGAGAGGCATGACTCCCACCCTCTCCCTTTGCCCCATACCCTAGCTTTGGGTTCAGAATTTGCTCATCTTTCTATCTGCGTATAAGTAAAACTCAGCCTTCATATAGGTTTTAAAGTCTCCCTTTCTTTTTATGCAGTGTACTTATGGTGTGTAGAAAACAATTCACGGCAGGTCTTTGCTCTACGCACCAACAGCCATTAGAGGTATAAATACTCGCATGTTCTGAAGAAGAGTCTGTACCAGGCTCCCACCTCAAGGGTTCCCAGTTTTCTGAGCTGTTTTATAAGTTTGATCTTTGGGGGATAGTAGGTGGGTGCATATGCAGAAATAAACATGAAAAGTGATGCACTGTCTCCTCACTTGGGCATTCCTCTTCAGTTATAAGCTGTAATACTTTCACGTCATTTAGGAGATGTTTGCTAGTAATCCTGATTGCAAAGCTGCTTTAGTAATTGCTTCTCGCCTTATATGAAGAAGCTTCAGAAGGTTTGTGAAATTAAGTAGTAATTTGATGTTTTATGCTCTATAAATAGGCCAAATGGTGATATTGTAATATATATACTGGTGAAATGTGTTAAAACTTGGTTGTGGATTTCTGGCCAAAATGGCCAAACAAATAGTCGGACAAACAGTCCCTCTATAGCAAAGACCTGAGCAACGAAGTGAACTACATGTAGAAGACAGTCCTAGAACCCTGAGCATCAAATGGAAGAATAAAAAACGTGAGTGAAAGAAGAACCTGATTGAAAACAGCCAACAGGAAGGGACAGCACAGAGGGCCCCTGACAGCCTGCCCAACATTGTGTGGTCATCTGGAGACAAAGACAGCAGCAATCCCGGATGAGGAGCATAGAAGGCAACTTCACAGAATTCCCAATAGGAAAAAAAAATCACTAATCAAGCATTGTACATCCAGTAAAATTGTCTCTCAAATATGATGGCAAAATTAGACATTTTTGGATAAACTGCAATAAAGGAAATTTGTAAAACCAGACTAACCTTATAAGAACTACTAAAGGGAATCGGTCAGACAGAGAACAAACAACATCAGACAACAACCTCACCTGGAAACCAACCCAGGGAAAGTAAAATAGAGCTTCTAGACTGAAAACAGGGAACCAGAGGGGGCAACCGATAAATGATAACACCTTCAAAATAAAAAACGGAATAAGTAATACAGTTAACAGAACTTCTGTATGGAAAGGAAGTTAGGGTAATATCAAGATACAACAGACTGTTTTAAACTTAGGAAGATAAAAGTAAATTTCAGGGTAACCACAAAGAAAATTAATAAACCTTCTTGCTAAAATAAAAAAAGAAGAAAATCATAAAAACTCAGTAAACAAAATCAATAGTAACAAAGGAACTTGACACAAAAAATATTTGGAGCAAAGAAATCATTCATACCTGTTGATAATTACAGTGAATATAATCTGATTAAATGTACCAATCAAGAGGCAGAGAATGGCAGAATGGGTACGAAAGTACGACCCATTAAGATCTTGCCTACAAGTGAAACACTTTAGACATAAAAATAAATATAAACTGAAAACTAAAGGATGGAAAAACAAAATAGACTTTAAGGCAAAAACCAGCATAAGAGACAAGGAGGACATTGTAAAATTGTTAAAGTGTCACTCCAGCAAGAGAATGTAGCTATAATAAATAACCATGCATCTAATGAAAGAATTTCAGAATTCATAAACAAACCTTAACAGAACAGAAAAGAGAAATGGACCACTCCACACATAATTGTAAGAGACTTTAACATATCACTTCCTATGAAAGATAGAACAACTAGAAAAAAACTCAACAAAGATACAGAAGATTTAAACAACAAAATCAACAAACTTGATATCTTAGGCATATACAGAACACTCTACCCACCAACAGCACTGTCCACTTTCTTCTTTAGTGCACATTCCTTCTCCACAATAGACCAAAGAGTAGTCAGAAAGCAATCCTTAATAAGCTAAAAAATCATTAAGATATTACAAAGCATCTTCTTGCTTAAAACCTACTGGGTAATAGAAGAAGAAGAAAAAAAAAATTTCTTAGAATAAGTGAGCATGAAAACACACCATTCCCAAACTTGGGACATAGGAATAAGCACACACATGAAAAAAAGAAGAGCGGAAGGTTGACAGAAGAATGATGAAGACAGGTGAAGACACAGGGAGAGATGCAAGGACTAAAGGGGGTAGAGGTAAATAGTGATACATATGTATATACACACACCCTTGGAACAACAGTGTTCTGTGGGTAGATACATGGACAGAGACACAGGCAGGAAGACTGGGAGTATACCTACAAATATATCAAAGGTTGGAAGAGGATATTTGTATGTGGATATTTACCTTTCCTGCAGAGGAAACTTGGCATATCTGACAGGGAACTAATCTTTAAAATTTATCAAAAACTTTTAACACCTCAACAACAAAAAGACAAACAATCCAATTAAAAAACCAATGAAGTTGCTATCAGGACAGACTGTGAGGGCTGGAAATGTAAAGGTAGATGTTTTGTAGCAAAAGGAAGGGAGTCTAGGAGCAGAGGTCCCTGGGACCATGAAGGAAGAAGAGCGGAGAGCGGGACCCTACCAAAAGAGACAGTGACGCCAGAGATGAAGGCAGAGACGATGATGTGGAAAGATGGAACAGCTGGGGACTCTAGACCCAGAGAGGGAGAGGGGCTGTGTGCTGACAACCAGGGGGCAGGCTTGCAGGGTATACCCTTTGGTTGTTTGATGATGCATGAAGGGGATTGTAATCATGGCAATGAAACGATATACGGTAGGATGAATGTAAAGCTAATGTTCTCCCATGTAAACTATCACATAATCCACAAGAAAACATTTAAAAAACAACAACAACAAACAAGCGAATGAAGGACATTAACAGACACTTCACCAAACAAAACCTTCAGGAGGCCAACAAATACATGAAGAGATGGTGATAATCATTAGCCACTAGAGAGATGCAAATCAAAATAATAAGAGCTATCCCCCTTGTCAATGATATTGTTAAGAGCTGGCGAGTCAGTTCCAACTCAAAGAGTCCTAGTATAGGGTTTCCGAGAAGCAGCTGGTGGATTTGAACTGCTGACCTTGTGGTTCACAGTCCAGTGCTGATCTTACGACAACCACCCCAGGAGTCCTTGTTGATAGTAGTAATGAGAAAATTTAAAAAACAAAGAACAGAAAACAACAAATGCTTGTGAGAATTGTGGGGAGATTGGAAGTCTCATATTCTGCTGGTGGGATTGTAAAACAGTACAACCATTGTGGAAAATGGTATGGTGCGTCCTTAAAAGGTTAGAATATGATCCAGTAACCTCACTACTAGGGATATGAGGAGGCTTCAAAAAGTTTGTGGGAAAATTCCATAATCTTTTTTCCTCCCATTCTCTTTTCATTCCATTTTTCCACAAACTTTTTGAAGCCTCCTTATCTATCCTAAAGAAATTTTAACTATGGCAGAAATAAATTTGTGCACACCCTATATGCAACATGAAAGAATAGTGGTGAATCTGCAAAACATCTCACAACATGGCTGAATTTGGAGGACATTATCCTGAGTAAAATCAATCAATCACTAAAGGACAAACATTGTATGAAACCACTATTATAATTCAAGAAATGGTTTAAGAACACAAAGAAACAATCTTTGATGGTTACCAGGAATGAGAGGGGAAGGATAGCAACTGACACATAGACTAATGGGACAGAATTGAGGATCCGGAAGTAAATCCATCCACCTGTGGAAAATTACTAACAGGATAGTAGAAATGAATTAACTTGGGTGAGGGGCAAGGCAGTATGTCAGTACAACATGACCAAGGCAAAGGAAGACACTGGGAGGGACACAGGAGTAAAAGGCAACAGCAGTAAATACTATTCCATACACAATCCTATAACAACAATCAGACATTTACAGCTGGATATGTAGGTAGATGTGTAAGCTGATCAGGTGTATGCAAGGACATCTGTGGGCTTAGAGAGGTTTGGCAGAGGATATTTTTACATATATATTTGTTTGTACTACAAATATATCCGGAGTCCTGGTGTGGCGTGTGGGTTAATGTGCCAGACTGCAAAGCTGTTTGAACTGCAAGGTCGGCGGTTCAAACTCACAAGTGCTCCTTGGAAACCCTATACTGGGTCGCTGTGGGTCGGAATCAACTTGATGGCACTCAACAACACCAACACCAAATGTACCCAAGTTATCTCCAGTGATCAAAGTTATGCAGACTTTTTAGCTCCAACCAAATACCAGAGGGACTGAGTCCGTGGGCTTGAGGGTTTAGGACTGTAGTCTTGGGCTATCTCTAGGTCAGTTGGCATAAGACAGTTCATAAAGACAGTGTTAAAACATCTTATTTTGGTGAGTAGCTATGAGAGTCCTATATCTAAGATACAGCTATTGGTCTCTAGCTGGCCCCAGCAGAGAAGAGTGAAGAAAGTCAAAGACTCAAGCAAACGTGTTTTTTTTTTTTTTTAATTGTTTTGGTTATGCAGTTTGTGTTAAATAATAAAAAAAGGAAAGGTATTTTTAATCTTTATGCCAGGTAGTTACTTATTTTTTATGCTATAAATTAGGTTCCCTAAGTTTGTCCCAATTATTCCTTCCATGAACTTTATGGTTTTAGAAAAGGTGTTTCAAATTGAGTACATAATTATTTTGTGGAATTTTAAATGCACTTCTCAGCAGTTGATAAAATAGATGGACAGAAAGTCAGTAGGAATATAGACTTGAAAAATAGAATGAATAAAATTTATCTTATTACACACATACTCAACAACAGCAGAATATACACTATTCAAGCACACATGGAGAAAATTTCCAAAAACTGACCATATGGCTGGTTTCATAAAGTAGGTATCAACAAACATCATTCTTCTTGTTGCTGTGTGCCGTAGAGTCAGTTCAGACTCACAACCCCCTGTATAGGGTTTCTGAAGCTGTAAATCTTTGCAGAAGCAGAAAGCCTCATCTGTCTCCTGCAAAGCAGCTGGTGGCTGAAACTGTCGATCTTGTGGCTTGCAGTCCAATGCTTATCTTATGGAGCCACCACGCTCCCTTAGACATCACTAAGGATATGTTATCTGCATGCTGCCACTAAGCTGGAGTTGTAACCAGGATTTGGAAGTTAAATGTAGTTTTAAATAGTGCATGGTCTAAAGAAAAAGTCATACAGAACAAACCTCTGAAACAAAAGTGAATCTTAATGAATGTCCTACATGCTCAGTTACTAAAGCCATGATTATAAGGGAAATCAAGCTGTCATGTGTTTTAAAAGTAAAGAACACTAGAATTCAGTAAGCAAAGCTACCATCTCAAGTAGTTAGAGAAAGAACAGCAGAATAATCCTAAAGAAAATAATAAAGCAAAGTACATAAAGAAAGAGGATTGACAGAGTCCAAAACTGGTTATTTGCAAAGACTAATATAACTGATAAACCTTTAGAGAGATTGACCAAGAGAGACAACGAGGAGAATAATTGAAGACAGTGAATTCAGGACAACTGTAAGAGTTTTGTTGAGAAATAAGGGCAGTGGCTTGGGGTTTATGTTTTGTTTATGTACTGATGGACAATATTACAGTTTGCTTGTTACATAGAACAGTTAATCACTTAACAAATATTTATTGAGCATCTGCTATATGCCAGGTGCTGTCCTGACACTCAGGATTCATTGTTAACAAAATAGAGATGCTTGCCTTCATAAGCTATCATTCTAGTAGAGGGAAACAGATGATAATAAGCACAATAATAAATATATGAGATTAGAAAGTGATACTCTCTATAAGGGGAAACAGAGCAAGATAAGGGGGATGGAGTCAAGGCAGAGCTAGGGCTGCAGTGGAGAGTTGGCCTCAGGAGGTGCTGACAGTTCATGAGCTCCATGTTCATGGCAAAGAGACAATATATATAGCATCAAATGCTTGTAGGTGGGTAGAGGGAGTAGTGAGGATGTGTAGAAATTCTCTCTTGTTATTTCTGTATTTCTAGTTCTACTTGGTTTAACATCACTCAGAAGAGTTTTTCATTTGTTGGCCTTGTGTTGTGTGATTGGTTTTATTATTGTGATCTCTTTTTTTCTTTCTGAAGCTTATTAAAATTGGCTCCTTACTTCTTAACGTTTTAATAATTCTAACCCTGTAGAAAGTATCTTCAAGCTGGGATGAAAGTTAACCCCTAGAGGAAACCCCCAAACATGCCTGCATTGCTTCTTTTGGGACTACTCTAGCTACTGTGGGTTAGCTTCCAAAACATGGTTTCAGGAGGGGATTATAATCTTGCAATGTGTAGCTTTAAGGCTCTGTTGCCCACCTGTCATGGATACCAGCTGTGGATTTGGTTTCATTCATACTAGTTGTAATAATATTTCCCAAAAAGTGTGCTTCTTCATTCTTACTAGTTGTAATATTTCCAGAGAAGTGTGCTTCTTCATGTAGTGAACATATTGCCACCCACCAGACTTAACATGCCAGTTGTAGCTTTGGTTTGTTTGAAGACTATGCCCTGGAAATATATAAGTGTTATTTGTTTTTATTGTTTGGGACATGGGGATAGGCAGGATTGATTTGTTTCTTTCTTGTTAGAGACAATAGGAGATACTACTCAGAAAAGGCAACAGAAATGTAAAAACCAGTCTCTGGTTATACAGATCTTAGTAGCAGAACTCTTATAGAGAGTTGTTAGAATGAAAGCTGGCTCCACTATGCCCCTAGAATCTCTACTTAAATATAATCTCATGCTCCCCTTCCCGTGGCCTCAAAATGGTAGCGAATATAAGTGACTGACAACGTTAATCTTGACCATGTCCTGCTCACTCTCACTTTCAGAGATGCCATAACAAAAATGAAAGATGTCTACCTAAAGAATCCTCAAATGGGAGACCCAGCCAGTTTGGATCACAAGTTGACAGAAGTTGGCCAAAATATAGAAAAACTGCGATTAGAGGCTCAGAAATTTGAGGTATGAAGCTGTTCTTGAAAAGCTTTGTTGGAATATAAGAAGAAAAAGAAATAGGTGTTATTAAATGTGTTGTTGTTGTTGTGAAAGTGCCATCAAATCAACTGGTGAGTTTGAACAACATGCCTGTGGTTACCAGTCCAGTGCTTACCCAGGACTCCCATTACATGTGTTGTTATTGTTGTTAGGTGCCATCGAGTTGGTACCGACTCATAGCATCCCCATGCACAACAACAAAACACTGCGCCAACCTCACAATCATTGCTACATTTGAGCCCATCCCTGCTGCCACTGTGCCCATCCATCTTGTTGGGGGTCTTCCTCTTTTTCTCCGACCCTCCATTTTACCAAACATGATATTCTTCTCCGGGAACTGGTCCCTTCTGACAGTATGTCAGATGTATGAGAGATGAAGTCTAGCCATCCTGGCTTCCAGGGAGCAATCTGGCTATACTTCTTCCAACACAGATTGGTTTGTTCTTTTGGCAGATGATACCTCTAATATTTCCCAACACCATAACTCAAATGCATCAACTCTTCTACAGTCTTCCTTATTTACTGTCCAACTTTGGCATACATAAGAGGTTATAGAAAATACTATGGCTTGGGTCCAGGTGCACCTTAGTTCTTAAATTGCCATCTTTGCTCTTGAACACTTTATATTATAGAATATCACCACCAATTTATTTCTTTGAGAGAGAGACAACTTGGAATGTCAAATTGTTTGATGGGTTACAATAAAAGGGAAAATACTGTCATGCTTCTCAGCTTGTCCCATCTTAAATGTGTTCTTTAAAACTGACCCTGTTTACAGCTGTGTTTGTCTACAGTGCAGTTTTAAATTTAAGCATTTCACTTTCATGTACGTAATGGATGTGATCAGAAGTATATCATCCTCTATCATCTCAGTGAATCAGAAAGGGAGCTTGAAAACAATCAACTGAAGTTTGTTACTGCCCTTCCAGAAGAACTGTTACCAAAAGTCTATATGTATGTGAGGGAGAGGAGCATTCAGAAACTGGACAAACAGCTCTCTTTCCTCCCCGAAATTTAAAGACTGCAGAGTATGGAAAAATAAATCAGTAATTCTAATCAGAATAGATTCTTTCTAGCAATGAAGAATCATACATGGCTTGTTTTCATTCTTTTAAAAATCGATCTTTAAGTTACTATGGTCTGGTTGATCTGTCAGAAGCTAGAATTACCTTTGTCTGATTACTTTACGTTCTGTCCCGCTTAGCTCGGAGGGCCACGGGCTCAGTGCCATACCACTGCAATTAAGTGAATGTCTCACTAAAGTGAACCCCGTGACTATTTTGGTTTCCCCCAGAATCCACTGCCATCAAGTCGATTCCAACTCATGTCCCTCTAAGACAGAGTTAAACTGCTCCAAAGGGTTTCCCAGGCTGTAAATCTTACAGAAGCAGACTGCCTCATCTTTCTCCCTGGTTAGCAGTCCAATGTTTAACCCACTGCCCCAGCAGGACCCCTTTGGTTTCCTAGCACATATAAGTTTTATGTTTACACTATACTGTAGTGCAACATCATTATATAAAAAAGTTTGAAATAGTGAGAGAATTACCAAAATGTAACACCAGACACAAAATGAACACAAGATGTTGGAAGAATGACACCGACAGACTTGCTTGACGCAGGGTAGCCACAAACCTCAATTTGTCCAAAAAAACCCCAAAAAAACAACCCACAGATCTGCTAAGCACATAAAGTCATGTGCGTCTGTACTAGTTTCCTTGGGCTGTGGTAACAGGGTGCCACAAATTGGCTAACTAAAAACAACAGACATTTATTCTCTCAAAATTCTGGAATCTAGAAGTCCAAAATCAAAGCGTTGGCAGGGTCAGAGGCTCTAGGGGAAGGTTCCTTCCCTGCCTCTTGGAGCTTCTGGTGTTTCTTGGCTGTGGCAGAATCACTCCACCCTGCCTCTATCTTCACATGGCCTTCCTCCCTCTGCTCTGTTTCTGCGTCTCTTCTCATAAAGGCAATGGTTCGATGGAGCAGGGCCCTCTCTCCACCAGTTAACTGATTTCTTCTGCAAAGACCCTGTCTCCAAACAAGGGTACACTCACAGGTACTGGGCATTTGGACTTTACCATATCTTTTTTGGGGATACAATTCAAGCCATGACATCTACTTTACTTTAGATGCTGCTGAAAATAATTTTATCTACTTTTTCCTATGTACAAGTTTCTTCACTATTTGGGGGGAGTGGGGAGAAGTGTACTACTGAAAACAAAAGGTGGTGATATGGCTTTCAAGGAGTCCTGGTGCTGCAGGTTAATGCACTGGGCTGCAAAGTTGGTTTGAACCACAAGGTCAGCAGTTCAAGCTCACCAGCTATTCTTTGGAAACCCTATACAGGGTTGCTATGGGTTGGAACCGACTTGATGGCACTTAACAACAATACCAGTTTGAACTCATGGCCACAGGAGTTTGGGAACCAGAAGGGATTAAAAGTGACTTGTTCAAGGTCACAGAGCTGCTGAAAGTCCCAAGAGTGTAACAGAGACCCATGTTCCTTAGTGCTACATTGTGAACAGTTTGTTGCATAAATATATAAGTTCACTTCTGCTTCTCCAACTTTGGGTGAATTGAAACAGTTGCCTTTGAGTACATTTAGAAGGTCACATGCAAATAAATTGGAGACTCTGTCCTCAGATAGTCTTTTCACATTGGTTTAAATGACCTTGAGTTTAGGACCTTAGATGAGTTCAGGCCTAAGTCTTGCCTTGTTTTTTGTTTCCAGGCCTGGCTGGCTGAGGTTGAAGGCAGGCTCCCAGTCCGAAGTGAACAGGCCCGCCGACAGAGTGGAATGTATGATGCCCAAAACCCACCATCAGTTAACAACTGCGCACAAGACCGGGAGAGGTACAGTATCTGTATGGCACCATTTGTGTTGTTAGCCTGGCTTCTGGCAAAGGAGTTGTTTTGCTTTGTATTTATTCCTCTATATTCTGGGATCTGGAAATGAGCATAACGTGTTTGTTACATACCAGAGTACTACTGTTAGGGTTGACAGATTTCCCCCTGGTGCAGCTTTTAGAATCCATCATGGAATGGTGATGTAAGCATAGTGAGTGATTGAAGACAGTCTCCATCACACACTCAGGGGTTTACAGCCCTCTCAGAAGTCGGTTGCTATAGTTGCTGTGTGTTTTTCTTTCTTGAGCAGCCCAGATGGCAGTTATACAGAGGATCAAAGTCAGGAGAGTGAGGTGAAGGTGCTGGCCACAGACTTCGACGACGAATTTGATGACGAGGAGCCCCTTCCTGCCATAGGGACTTGTAAAGCTCTCTACACGTTTGAAGGTGACTACGCCAGCCTAATTTCCATGTCTGTTCTAAATTGTATGTGAGCCACTTTTCTGTTCCTGTGATCAGAACTTTCTTTTGAAGCTCTCCAAGTCTTCCTGTTATTTTCTTCTTCTACTGATAGCATTGTTACTTTTTGGTCAGTGGCTGTATGTTTGGATTTGTGGTCCGTATGATGTAACAACAATCAGTGAGCTTGACTGCAGTAGAGAGTATGGACTAATGGTGATTATATCTATTTGTTCAATATTTATAGAGCTCCTATCTGAAAAAGGCCCCCAAAGAGAAGGAACACGGGGAGTATAGTGTGGCACCCACCTTAACAGAAATAAGGCAGATAAACATATGGAAAAAGGCAGCCTGCAGTATTTACCAGAAAAGAGGCAGAGAGTGTGGGAACAATAACAGGAGAACTCCTTTAAGGGGTTTCGAGAATGTTCAGTGATGCAATGTATCATCGGGATGGGTATTGTCAAAACATGTTAATGAGGAAAGCGCACGTTTGTTGTGCAGCTTCTCTGTGTTAGGTGGTAACAGTGGAATTGTTGTTTTTAAAAGTGCCATCCAGTTGGTTCTGACTCATAGTGACTCTATATAGGGTTTCCAAGGCTGTACATCTTTGTAGAAACAGAAAACCTTGTCTTTCTCCCACCGAGCACTTAATGGGCTCGAACCACGCTCCCCATCAGTGGAATAGGAGACTGGAAAGTGAGAGATGGCAATGGAAGGGGGTGGGGGCCTGGATAAGAGAAACATTTTCTTTGGCCAACACAGAGGAAAGAAGCTGCTTGCTGGAAGTATTTGAGCCGAGTGTCGTCTTCATCAGAGATTTATTATCCCATATGTAGGGTGGATAGAAGAGTCTTGGTGGAGCACTGCAGGATAAGTACTGGACCGTAAGGTCTCCGATTCAAACTCACTAGCTGCTCCTCAGAAACCCTAGACAGGGTCACTACTCATCAAAAGAAAGACTAGGCTTGTGCTTCCCAAACTGATGACTTTTGAAACAGTGTCCTATATAATGTTAGCAAGGATGCTGTCTTTATAAAAAGGCATTCAGAGCTCAGAAAGGTTTGGGAAGCCCTGAGGTTTGGAAAGCCCTGAGGTAAATGTCTTTTGCAGATTTCTGTACTTCAGAGCCTTTAATAGACTCGATGTCCTTGCTGACAAAGCCAGAAAGGGAATACCAGTTTAAATGTTGCCAGTTTTACCCCCACAGCCAAGTCTTCCCCCTCTCCTCCCACAGTACCCATGTTAACAACTCCCCAAACAATTTGTCTATCTCATAATGCTAGTTGGGGCGTGGTGGCTAATTCATTGACATTCTTTTAGCAAATGTTTACTGATCTTGATTAAGGAATGGACATGAGGGGCAGCAGTTGACAAACTGCTCAGGCTTGAAGCTAATTGGAAATCAGGAACAAAAGATGGAGACAATCAAAGGTGGTTACAGAAATTACATTCCAGGGAGAATGGAGCTGTCCACTGCAACCAGAAATGTGAAGGGAGAGCAGCTAGTTAGGGAGAACCAGTGAGTTCAGTTTCACCCAAGATGAGTTTTAGGGGCCAAGGCAACTTCAAGGTACCAGAAATATGAGAAAGTGATACAGCGTTATTGTTTTAAAAGTGCTTTGCTCCAAGAGAGAGAAAAGGCAACTAGAGAAGAGGAGAGAGAGAGGGGGTCTCGGTTCGTTGGAGGAATTAGATACAGATCCTTTAGAGAGACAGAGGTAAAACTTGGAAGTGGAGGAGAAAGTTTGAGTGCAGTAGATAAAGGGTCAGTGGTGTTAACTACATGTAAGAAGTCAAAAGGGGGTACTTTTACATAGACATCACCTCTGAGCCCTCGTTTCATTGCATAGTTCCCTGTCTGCTCTCTACGTGAATTTAACAGGAAACCTAAAATACATCGATCATTGTTTTTCCAGGTCAGAATGAAGGAACCATTTCGGTAGTTGAAGGCGAAACATTATACGTTATAGAGGAAGACAAAGGTGATGGGTGGACCCGCATTCGGAGAAATGAAGATGAAGAGGGTTATGTTCCCACCTCATACGTCGAAGTCTATTTGGACAAAAATGCCAAAGGTGCTAAGACTTATATTTAATTCCACTTACCAAAACCAAAACAAAAAAACTTAAAAAAAGAAAAAGAGTGGTTTCTCCTCACAACTATGCCTGTTACAGACAGACAATTCTTCAAAAGACTGGATGGACAACATCGCAGTCCCTGTTCCCACACAGCCACACAGTGGACTTGTAGAGGCCGTACACCTGAGTGTTTGGGGTTTTGACTATCATCAAGTTTCACTTGCTGAGATTTATGTGAAAAGCTGCCAACTGCCAAAACTTACAGTCTAGATTCTAGTCAATTTAATGAATTTAATAAAAATCCACACACATCACATCATGGGGGTGCAAAAATACTTTTATATCCAGCGTCACCATAAATGAAATGGCACTAGAATGTTATAAATTTGAAATGTAATAAATTGAACTATCGTAATTTGTTCAATTTTGCATTCATTTTAGAGGAAGTCATAAATAAAATAAAATTTCCCTCTTCTCAAGTCAAGAAAAACCAGTTGCCATGGAGTCGACTCCAACTCATGGCAGCCCCATGTGTGTCACAGTAGAGCTGTGCTTCATAGAGTTTTCAAAGGCTGATTTTTTCAGAAGCAGTTCACCAGGCCTTTCTTCTGAGGTACCTCTCGGTAAACTCAACCTCCAAAGTTCAGGTTAGCAGTTAAGTGTGTTTTAGCTGTTTGTACCACCCAGGGACTCCTCAGTAAAGAAAAAGTTAGAAAATTCTCATAGTGATACTAAAAATATTTTACTTAAACATAGTTAAGGTCATTGTTAGTTCTGATTATCCTATTCTGCCCATACGATCCCAAACAAACAATTGAAATCTGAGAAAAAAGTATGAGCAAGTAACCAGTTGATTTTTGTCAATGACACTGCTCATCTTCCCTTCACCAGGCTGACCCAGTAGATGGGATGTGTTCACACCATTTAGACACACTGTAAAAGCAGTGCCTGTCCACGCCACAATTCCCTTTCTTTATAATTTTCTCACACTTGGTTCTGCTTCTCTTGGAGGTTTTGCAGCAAGTAGAGCTGTGTCTCACTCACACTTCCCCAGATGGTCTAGAAATAGAACCGAGTTGGGGAGCAACTACTTCCACACACAGACACCAATCTCAGCACATCACCTTTCAAAGTTGGGTGGAGGGGAGGAGGTTGTCAATCACTGGCATCTTTAAGACTCTGCATTTGAATTTACTGGGAATTGTTTTAAGCAGCAAACATAATGGCTCATTTTGGAAACTTACATGGTTAACTTTAGCCAGAATAAAATAAAAGTTCTCATCCTCTTTGAAGAAATCTGGGCCACAGGGGAATTTGCATTCTGAAATTGGCACTAAAGACAAAGGCTAGATAGTGAAATTAGTCACATTTATAGGCCAGTACCCAGCCCAGTGTTTAACTGTGCCCAGTAATGAGATTCTGGGCTGAGAACATAGAGCTCTGGCTATAAATGGGTCAGAACAAAGGCATTGCGTTAGTCTTCCTTTTTACTTTGAAAATAATTTATTCATGCCCTTTCTGCTTTTAAATAGAAAGTTTACCTTCTTGCCTTTATATTATGGCTCATTTTATTAGTCAATTTAAAGCTGATTGTAAAAGCAGCTGGCAGGAATTACGGGTGCTTGTCGCTCTGGATGGCCTATGTGTCAAGAACCTAACAAGTTACCTTAAATGTCACACGGGCCACCAAATTCTAACCCATAGTGGCCCCATATAGGGTTGCCAAGGCTGTAACTCTTTACAGGAGCAGACAGCCTCAGCTTTCTCCTAGGGAACAGCTGGTGGGTTTGAACTAGTGACCTTGTAGTTAGTGGTCTAGTGCTTATCCTACAGTGCCACCAGAGCTCCTTGACTTAAACCCCTCCCTCTACAACAACAACACAACAACAAAAATGTCTTTCAATTTTGCAAAGATATAGAGAGAGGAAAATACTACCCACCCTTTACCTAGTTTCTCCCAAGGGTTACATCTTACATAACTATGTCTTGATAGGATACTATCAAAACCAGGAAACTAGCATGGGGCAGCCTGATGCTTTTTTAAAAAGGTTCTATCTAAATAATGCTGTAAATGGATCTCATTTTGAATTACACATCTGCTGGAGTATTAGAAGTCTTCGTACTGACTCCAGACCTTGTCAGAACGTTTGTTTACTTTACGTTTAAGTCAGCACAAAAACCAGCTGACCACTGAAATTTGTTTTAATTATCAGCAGGAGACTACTGGGAGTCCTGGTGGCACAGTGATTAAGCACTTGGCTGCTCACTAAAAGGTGGCCAGTTCGAACTCATCAGCCAATGTTCTGAGGCAGCCTGCTTCCGTAAAGATTACAGCTTTGGAAAACCCTTTTGTGCAATTCTGCTCTGTCCTAGTGTTACTATGAGTTAGAGTCAACTCAGTGGCCAGGGGTTTGGTGGGGTTATTTTTTAGGAGGTATGTAACCAAATGAATGGCAGACCTCTTAAAGTCTGACCAACCTCTTGATCCGATAATGAGCACATTTTCAGACTCAACACTGGAGAACACAAGCTAACCACTGAAAAAGTCTAAAACGGGGCAAGACAATGTTTACTTTAAAGCCCACCTTGAAAAGTATGACGTTCTGTGAGGGTGGTTTTTTGTTTCTTTGGAGTTGTGCAAATTTGATTCAGTAAATAGTTCCACTGGTTTGCATAGGGCACTGGGGGTAGGGAGGGGGAACAGTTTGTGTGCATACATTTATGATCGGTATTTTAAGTTGTGTGCCTTAGCACCTGCCAGACGAATACATGTAATACTGACCCAACAGTTAAGAGATGCTTCATAGCTAGTCAATATGTTGAAGTATTAGAAAAAGTACTGAGACAGTTCCCAAAGCATCAGGAATTTCCGTCTCCATCCAAAACAGTTTCTTTGTTTTCTCCAGTAGTTCTATGCAAAACTATGAAAGAAGCAAAATCTCAGATGGTGTGTAAAGTTTTCTTCCTTTAATTACTGGTTAATTATGTGTGTGTCGAAGCTCTTCCTCCCTACCACGTTTATAAATGTGTCAGACCTCACCCCAAACACGCCCTTCGGGTGAGGCTACTGCTTTCTGGTGCCTGTAACTCAAAGCAGTTGTTTCATTTTAAATAATGCCAAGTGCACTTTTTTTTTTTTTAGTGTGGTGTAGTGTGGTCTTAAGATGTGGTGGTTTCATCATTGCCAAAATATTTAGACTGATTTTCAATTGGTCAACTGGATTGTAATTTCTTTTATGATTTTGTTGTTGTTGTTTTCAACTATTTTCTGTTAAATAGATCCATGATCCCCTCTACACACAGAAAGTATATTTGTATATAATGCGAATGAAAAACTGAAAGGATGGCTTAGTTGTTTTAACGGTTTACTCAATTCTGTTTGTTTTATTGGTAATTCTGCTGCCTAATGACCTTTTTGTTTTTATAACGGCTGGGGAGGCTACAAGGATTATTATACTGGTAGCTAGGTTCCCTGCTGGCTGCTCCACACTTGGCTTTATTAGACACATGATTCCTGAGTAAGTTGTGTTTGAAGACAGCCCACGTTGACTGTTTCTTTCTCTTCTTATTCTACAAGAAAAGAACCTGCCTGACATCTTTTAGTTGTACCCTCATACCTGCCTCTCTAATAAACGTTATATTTTTCCTCAGTGTTGTGTATTTTAAATGATTCTTCACCTTTGCAAGAAAAGTGTTCTGTGTAATATGAATATTTAACTCTTTCCTCTTTAGTAATGGGGGATTTCCTATCCAAATGCTTTTTTTAAAATTCTGCCTTTTTTTTTTTTTTCCTTAAATCAATGTCCTGTTTCTTACCCTTTATGTACTGAAGGGCTGAAAGAGTCTTTGTTTCTCATGTTTCTCTTCTGCCTCCCTCAAGATGAAGAACTTTCACTGTTTATTGCTGAGGAAACATTGTTAAGTTTTCTTTTAACCAAAGGTTTAACTTGATTATCAGGGAGCTGGGAGTTTCAGACTGAGAGAGAATCAAGCTCTTATTTTCCTTGTTTTATTCAGGGAGCTCACCACATCTCTTTCTTTCTCTCAACACTAAATTGATTAAAGGGATGAGTCAGGGTGATTCTCCTAACACTAGTAAAGACCAGTTAGTTAATGATTGCTGATGAAACCGTGAAAGTTCCTGATCTCAAAATGAGCCTGTGGTAACCAATTTGTTCTAAAAACACCTCACCCCGCCTGCCCTCTCCCCTCTCCTCCCCCAGGGCGGGCCATTTGCTGTGAAGCACAAAATGCCCGCCTCTAACCTGCTGCCTTCCGGTCTAACAGAAAGTTTCTCTTTCTTTTTCTTTTTGTGTTGTAGATTCCTAAAGGTGGCATCCGGGGATCCAGAGTCTGGGGTGAGCCTTCCCAGGAGCAACCACTCCGTCTGCTTGTCTCCACAGGCCTCGAACGTGCCTGTGCGAACAGAGTGGAGCACTTGAAATCTCAGCCTGAAATGACAGCCCCACACCGTTCAGCTGCTTGCCTTTTTCTTTCTTTTCTTTCTACAGCATGCTTCTTGTGGCTCAGTTATTCCTAGGGCCCAGTCTGGCCACCTTTTGGGGGGCAAGTTGAACTGATGGGATTGTTTCCCTCTCCCCGGCTCTGCACAGACAAGGGAAGACCACCAGACATTTCCCCTCCTCCCGCACTTCACTAGCTCCATAGCTAGCCCTCAGTCCACCAGGTGTTGGTCCTGACTGGCCCATCCTCATTTCACCCTGTGCCTTTTGTGAAAGCTTTGCTACTAGTCTCCTGAAGAGACTAACAGAACCTGGATAAGGAGGGTCGACTTAAACCAGGTGAACTGAGCACCCTTGTGCCATGCTCGTATTCCCCTACCATTTACACTAGAAACTGCACTATCTTTCCCAAAGTCCATTAATTATTCACTGGTCCCTTTCTGGTTATGGGCTCTCTGCTCATACTAAACCTTGACCCTTTCAATATTTTCTGTGGTGGGTTCAGGGGTAGGTATGCGCACACTTTTGTTGGGAAACCGGTATTCGGTGGCCCAAAAAG